ACTGTACAAAATTTTGTAAAATAATTTCAATTAAGTGAAATATTGTGGATAAATAAATTTGTAGATACGAAGGAGCCGACGTAGTCATATGTCTACAGTTTATTTCGGAGGTACAGTTGAGGTTTCCCAAACTCAACTGTACTAAATTTGATTTGTATTTTTTCAGATCATCGAGAGGTCAAAGGCTGCTAAATATGGCACTACAACAAAGCAGTCCTAAAACTCAGCCAAACAATAATAGTAAACAGCTTACAGAAAAAATAACAGGTCGTTCGGATCATGAAAATGTTGATTCTACTAATGTAGAGTGTACTGTTAATATTCCAAAAACATTGGAGCAATAGTACCAATAATAATTTTGTTTGAAATGATTGTTGACCCCAATGATGGTTTTTTATTCACCTTGCCCTCAGACGACATGAGTTTAATGCTGAATCTTGAAAATATAATAGTTACCGAATCTCTTCAAACAAATAATTTGCCTAATGGGATAAGCAGCTCATATGCAATGGATAAAACCTTACATAAATTGGAAGACCCAACTCTAAATATTGGCAACAAAACAGTTGAGTAGTTGGAGAATTACGAATATAATACACCTAATCAAACTGAACCTTGTATTGATATTATTAATAATAATGATATTGTTAATAATATTATTTGCGATAAGCAATCAGATAACAATGAAGAGTATATGTCCAATGAACGTGAACATAAAATTGACAATGACTTTGATCAGCATTCGAATAAAATATCAAGTATAACCAAACTCAAGAAACGACACCACGTGAATCGGCAAACTTGGAACATTAGGAAAAATATAACAGCCAGAAAATTAGGAAAGGAATATTGCGGTAAAAGAAAAACAAAAAACGGATCGTATGTATATAATATAAAAAAAGCTGCTAGAGTAATGAAACAAATATGCAAGTATAACAGAAAAGAAAATAGTGTAATCCAGTGTCTACGACTAACAAAGATGACAGAAAAGAAAATTTTGAGAGTTGAGGAAAATGGACTGGCCAGAGAAAAATCTATTTCTGAGGTTTTTGACTCACAAATCTAACAATGTTAGGGCTCGAGACCGAAAATCAGAGACAAAGAGTAGAAGAAAAAAACTCTTGCAAATATTTTCTTAAACAGAATCGTTCTGAAGTTGGTGTTTGCAAGAACATATTCCTGAATACCTTCTATCTATCTATACAGCCCTAAACATCCATCCTTGGATATAGGCCTCCTCCTCCTCCTTCTTCCATGCCTCTCTATGTTGGGCAATTAGCATCCATTTTGACCCGCGTGTTTCTTCAGGTCATCTGACCATCGCATTTGTGGCCTTCCCCTTTTTCGTTTGTGATTCCATGGTCTCCAATGTATAATTGTCTTAGTCCATCTTTTGCCTTAGGGTGTGTCCGGCGAACTTCCATTTACTACTTGGGTTGAGACATCTTTCACTTTTGTTTTATTACGGATCCATTCGTTTCTTTTTCTGTCTGATAGTTTAATGTTCAGTATTTGTCTTTTTATTGGGGGTATTTTGAATTCTTTAGAATATAAGACAGTTTTCCGAATGATGCCCAGGCCAATCTTATTCTTCTCTTTATTTCTTTGGTCTGATTTTCTTTATTTAATTTAGTGATTTGGCCTAGATATAAAGATTATATATATCTAGGTAAAATATCTAGGCCTGAATACCTTAGCTATCGGTAAATGGACTGCTCTAAACTGGCAAACAGCAACATAAGGTAGAAATCGAGATGAATGGGAAAATCTACCCCAAAGAAAAGACAAATTAATTATTCCAATGACACTTCACAATCTTCCAAGTCTTTACACCAAGGCTATCGATTAAATATAGGAAGTGTCTTGATTTAAAATCCTTAACATCCATTTTGGAACCAGTTTTTTATCCCTTTTATGCTGCAATTCCTCACGATTAAACACCATGTTTGTGTTCAACTTTACTGTAGTGTGGAAAATTTTTGTTTTTTATTTAGTATTATAACTTTAACAATTTGTTGGGCTAAAAATATATTTTTGTATTAATAAACTTAAAAAAATACTTATTTCTGGATCACTCTTTTTTCTATTTTAACAAATAAATGTTTGAAAATCACGTATCTCCGATATAGTATTTGTGCAAAACTCTTAACTCCGTAAAAAACTATAAAATAAAAAAAAAATACAATTAGCTATTTGAGTTAAAGGATACAAATATATATTTGATATATTTCAAACCAAAAATATGACTGCTAATATAAATAAAACTTTACAAAGTTTTTATTGTCTCCTATAAAATTTACTATTTTGGAGTCACAAGGTCTGCTAATTAAGGTAGCTATATTTAGTTTAGTTGGTATGAGTTACGTTTTTTAATAATGGTATGAATGGTTTTTACTTTAAACATTTGATCTTTTAAAAACAACTTTAGTTTTACTTTTTTCGTTGTTGATAAAATATTCCTTCAGTTCTCCATACAATTTTCTAATATTGAAATTTCTTTATTCACCGGACTGCAATAACACTCTCAACATCGTGATCTGTACCTTTTTGCGATTGGCTTCACAAGATAATACACATAAGAGAACCAAAACGTTTTCATTTCATTTTGTTATAACGTTACTTTTAATAAACAAGAAAATTAAAACGTACATAAAATTAAAAATAAATAAAATAGTAACTAAGTATATTTATATGTTGGCTAAAATATATTTATACAAACGAAATTAAAAAATGTTTCTTGGATTCTTCATAAACATTAAAAAATAAACTCTATATATCATATGGAAAGAGAAAATTGTTCTGTAACTATGAGGTAAAATGATGACAAAAGAATAATCATAAGAAATTTCAATTCAATTTACAAGAAATCACCTCAACCGTCGGCACTTGTTTAATATCTTACTTCAAATTGGCCTATTTTACCTTATTACTTATATTTATTTTATAAGCCTCTTGGGAGCAGACTCAACTAATAGGACAACCTAGCAAAAATTACTTGCTCGATACAATATTAACTCAAATCCAAATATAAAATTTAGTCTTCTATTTCAAGCAGTTTTCTATTCTTTTTTCCAACGGATTGTCCCCTGAACCTCTTCTTTGATGTTTTTATCTACATTTATCCAGTTTCTTCTGGCTTTTCATGTCTCGCTGCATTGGGACGAAAACCTTGTGGTCTCCGTGGAGAACCAGATCTGAGCAACCAACTATTAAAACTAATCCAAAAAATAATAGAATAAAAGAGAATACTACAAGAATGGAGAAACAAATAACCTTAATGAATATAACACTAGCAGAAGAACAACAAGATTTAGGTCAGGAAGATCATGCACCGACGCTATATTTATGAGGCAAGTACAAGATAAATCATTAGAATACAACAAACCGACAAATGTGTTTCATGGACCTGAAGGAGGCATTTAGCAGGGCCAAATTAAAGGACTTATTGTACTGGAGAGATACCTCTACAAATAAATAAAACGATCGAAAATATATACCAGAACAACACAATGAAAATAGGAGAAGAATAATTAACCGATCCAATTGAGCAAAGGGCTAAGACAGGGGGATTCTCTGAGTACTTTATTGTTTAACCTGATTATGGATGGAATAATAAAGAAAAAGGAAGAATGAAAAAAGGACTTCACTAATTTAATATAACCGACTGGAAAATTTAACATGATAATTTCACCAAAAGCAAATCTACTAAGATGTAAATTGGAGATGAAGGGACAGACAATAGAACAAATCATGGAGTTTAAATATCTGGGCATACTGTCTAGCTACGGAAAACAAAAGTGGAAGATCAAGTGAATAGAGTATAATAGAGAGCCAGGATGCTTGAATAAAACAATGTGGTGGAATAAAAATTGCAAATAAGCACGGCCTAAAATGTACGAGAATTTTCGAAAATTGTCATACTGTTGAATATGAACTATATAACGCAGAAAAAGAATGTGAGAGTGAGATGAATGTTTTGATGAATTGTTATATGATTCTGAGGAAATTGTACAACCTACTAAAAAAAGAAAAATAAATAAAACATAAGCATATTTCTGGTTTTATAAATATTGAATCTCATTTTAAAACCATATAAATAAATTACAATTATTGTACTGTTTATATCTTTGTTTTACTAATTTATTCCTTCTATCAAAGTAATTTGCAATTTAAGATATACGTATATATGATGTTTATTTTAATTTATTAGACCAATCATTTAATTTCTCATGAAATTGTACTAAAAATCTAGTTTGACCAAAGGTTTTTAAAATCAATTTTTTCGATTTTTTTTTTGGAAAATAGATTGTTTTTAAATAGAAATTTTAATCATTTGAACTTTACTTTAACATAATTTTTCACTTAAAAAAGATTACACAGCGAGGCACGCTAAGTATTAGAAAAAAAGATAAATACTGAAATAATAGTAATCTATATTTCAGAATATTAAATTTTTGTAGAAATGGGGATGTTTCATGGGGATGTTCTCAACAATAATTTGGTAGTACATTACGTTTAATAGTATTGTGAAAGTAAAATAATTGAAAAAAAAATTGAATATTAAAACAAATTTTTAGGGGGGTTGGGGGTGGTTTTTTAAGGGTGAAAGTATTCCAGATGTTATTATTTCGACGTGCTACACCAGGATAAAAAAACATCGAAATCGGTTCATGTTTCACCGAGATACTGCAAATTTTACCATCTACCACTTATCCCCACTACTACGTACTTGAAAACTCATAATTTGATAAAGTTTTGAATGAATTTATTCATTATTGAAAAAGTTATAAACAATTGTAAAAAACAATGTTTTTTGGACTAATTTTGCAATAACTTTTTTATTTATTTATGGATTTCAATTTATCAAGCCTTAAAATCTTCGTCAGTTCTCGAGGAAAAAATCATCTTTGGACCATTTTTCTCCAACCCTCGTGGGTTTTCGCAATATTGAATCGAACGAAAAGATACCACTTTTGTGCAAAAAAGTTTAAAATAACAATTTTCCAACCAAAAAAACGTTACTCACGAGATGAGACGCTGTTTGCATAGGCTTCCCCAACACTTTCCACCTGGAAAATCGCGTCCAGTAATTTTTCGATTTCAAAAACTTTATTTTCTCGGTCTACTTTTAGAGTACTTTCATAATCTATACAGAAATTACCCACTACAACACTTACTTTAGGCAATAAATTGAAAAAAAGTCAAAAAACACGTATTTTGCATCTATAAATGCTCATAAATAAACAATAACCAAAAATTTTTTGTTGAATGAACTGGTGGATTGCTCCCGAGGTTGCCCTTTATAACGTAGGCCACATGATATAAATTTCTGGATTACAGTGTAAAATCATCCTTTTCCCCCACAGCCTGGGCTAATACATAATTATATTTTTAAATGTTTATGATAGAACGACCAACAAAACATTACCATTCCATTGCTATGATTCAGTAAACCTTGAAGTACGAAATTTTATGTTTCAATTAGTTTTTATTAGTATACAAGCAAAAGAAGGTAAACAGTACCAAATAAATAAAAATATAAATTTAAAAAGTCGTTGATTTAGCAATCCCATTCCGAATCAGTCGACTCATCAGATTTATCATCTTCAGAATGAATGACTTCGCTTCGTTTTGCTAACGCCCTAGCTAAAGCACTAGCTAAGTCATCACTTCTGCTGGATAATGCATTTGATGCTGGTTTGATGTCCCGTTCATCTACTGGCCTTAGCTTACAACCCTTCCTAATCTCGCTAAGTAAGTCACCCCTGGCGTCTTCTTGTTGTGGCGGCGGAGGAGCTTTTCGATCGTCTACGGACTAAAAATCAACAACAATTAATTTGCAATAATAACTACATACAGAATAATTACAGATGATTCACTGAATTTGGAAAAAATTGACAATATTTGTCCAAAACAAACAACATAAAAAGTCCTACCTACATTATTATTAATTGAAATAAACTTACATACTTCCTTAATGAAAAAAAGAAGACTAATCATGAATAAATATAAGGTTGAATGTTCGAATAATTAAACTTTGACGGTATACAAGCACTATCGAACATGGTGATTAATTTAATCTTGCCAAGTACTTTCGATCAATAGATCATCTTCAGGGCATTTCGTCAGTTGTGGCCTATCCGACATAGTAGATGTCATAAATGTAAATTTGGACATAACAATACAAAATACAATACACAAAGACAACAACACTTTAAAATTTTGAACAGAGAAGCTACATGTTGTATTTGTGTTTCCGCTTCTATACAACATGTAGCTTCTCCTGTTCAAAATTTTAAAGTGTTTGTTTGTCTTTGTGTATTGTATTTGTATTGTTATGTCCAAATTTACATTATGACATTCTACTCATGTCGGATAGGCCACAACTGACGAATGCCCCTGAAGATGATCTATTGATCGAAAGTACTTGGCAAGATTAAATTAATCACCGTGTTCGATAGTTGCCTTGTATATCGTCAAGTTTAATCATGAATAATGGGAGTACATCACAAATGAATAAACTTAACCTGTCATTATAATTCGACATAATTTAGTAAACATTTGTTTTATTTGTGCTCTCTTCAAATTGCAATTAATACAGACTATGAACATTTGCACTCAGTTGTATAGTACCTTCAAGTCACTTACAGCCAATATTTAAATTTGACCAACACAACACAAATTATTTAGTCAATTGGGACTCAGCTGAGTGTATATAGTATAACACACAGGGTTGGGAAAAAGTTGAAGACAAACATACATTTTTACATGGAGTTAGACACAATTTTAAGATCTATTAAAAAAGAAGACATTACAATAGTAATGGGGGACTACAATGCTAAAGTCGGGAGAGGAAATGTGGACGAATATGTTTACATTAAATTTTTGCATCCAATCTGACAAAGACATTTCGTCATCCTCGTCAACTTCCTGAACATTGGGAGAAACTACAGTCAATTTAACTTGACGAAAGCACTTACAAATTGTCACTGACGTAACCGCACTCCACGCATTGTCTAAAAACTGAACTGCATCAAGGATGATAATGTTCACGGGTTCCCCATTTCCATCAACTGTTTCCGATAATGGCACTTACTCCTTTGGTCCATAGGCTGCAACACACTTGTGTAGTTGGGTGGTAAGAAAACTAGGTTGATATAGGTCAAATTAAGTCTGGGCTGTACTGTTGTCAACTAAGAGAAGATTTTTTTAAGAGAGTTCCTTGTCTAACTTTCTCAATTCTTCTCCAAAAATAGCAGAAGTCGTCCACGCTTCTTTGTTAGCTGTCTAGTTTACATGCAGTGTTTTTATGCTTTTGAAACATTTAGGATGTAAACTTTTCCTAATAACCAAAAGCTTACTTTTATGTTTGCACAAACAAAAGCCGTGACTCTTTATTTTGAAGCTTTCCACCGAAACATTTTTGATTTTTGAAATTTAACCCTATAACGCTGAGCGTGACGTTTTCGTAACGTTTGATAAACACTGGTCTTATGCACAAAATAACCCATGTAGGACGGCTACGCCGACGGGATCGGTATCGTTACATTTCAGTGAAAATATAGCAAACCCGTTTTGATTACGTTCGCGCGGCACATTCACGTGAGATGTTTCTGTTTGACAGTGCACTAATGAAAAGTTAGGTTATAGTGTACTGTGGAGTGTTTATTGTTATAAATTGGAATCAAGCAGCATATGAACGTTGGATTTTTTTTACATACTTCTAGAAGAACGATTATCGTTTGGCGAAGGTAATATGTGCTAAAATTAATTATTTTTCTGTATTTTTATTGAAAATTTTAAGCGTTACGAAATCGTCACTCTCGTCTTTTGGATTTTTTTAGATTGATCAAAATAATTATGGATTGTGCAGCGTTTTATGGCAAAAAACGTCTTCCCTTAATGGATGAGAGTAGTACAGATACTGTAGATGGTTCTGATATTAATTTCGAGGATTTGGGTAATTATTTTTATAGTTCTTTTTATAATTTTCTAGTCATTTGTATTGACTGCTTTGCCTCTTTGTATTATAGTTTGAAATGACTCATTTATACTCTTTTTTTATTATAGATGAATCTGACGATAGTACTGAAGAAAGTGAAGCCAGTGGAGAAACAGTAGCTGCACCAGAAACATTAAAATCAAAGAGTCGTAAAACCTATCCACTTTGGCGACATGTGTCAACTGAAGATTCTGCTAAACCACTTCCTATATGGTTAGGTCAACTAGAGCCGTCTGGAGTTGTAAAGCGACCTGTGGAATATTTTAGAAATTTTTTTTCGGAAGATATTCTGACTCACATAGTTGAGCAGTCAAACTTGTATGCCATTCAAGAAAATCCCAATAAAAGTCTGTCATTGTCAATTCCTGAATTGGAACAATTTTTAGGGTCCTTATTGGCAATGTCCATGGTAAAACTATTCAACTCAAGATTGTATTGGAAAACTAAGTTAAACTGTCCAATTGTATCGGAAGTAATGACCAGGGATCGGTGGGAAGAAATAAAATCCAAAATCCATTTTAACGATAATTCGACAATACCAGAAGATAATACCACATATGACAAACTATTCAAAATAAGGCCATTGATAAATCATTTACAGGCGAAATTTAGAGAAATTCCAATGCCTCAAATGTTATGTATTGATGAACAGATAGTACCATTCAAAGGCAGATCTAGCATTAAACAATATATACCCAGCAAGCCACACAAATGGGGCTACAAATTATTTGCTCTTTGTGATGAGAAAGGAATTATGTATGATTTTTTTATATATTCTGAAAAAATCCAACCAGTAACTGGAGAACCAGATTTAGGAGCTAGTTCCAATGTGGTACTGCAATTAGCCACTCATATTCCTGTAGGTGAAAATCATCTCCTATATTTCGATAATTGGTTTACCTCTCTAGCTCTGATGGTGCATTTGGCAAAAAAGAAAATTTATTGCCTTGGAACAGTAAGGATAAATCGCTTATCGGGAGTTCCTCTAAACAAGGATAAAGATTTACTAAAAAAAGGTAAAGGATCCTTCCAAGAAGTCTCGACTCTAGTAGATAATATTGAAGTCAGAGCAGTAAAATGGGCTGATAATCGGGTAGTCAATTTGCTATCAACATTTTCGTCTGCAGAACCTACTGAAACATGCGAGCGATATGACAAAAAAAATAAACAGAATATTACAATTACCTGTCCAGCTATTGTCAAAACCTATAACCAATTTATGGGTGGAGTGGACCTAATGGATGCATTAATTGCTCTTTACAGAATTCATATTAGATCTAAAAAGTTCTATCACAAATTGTTTTTTCACTTTTTAGATGTTACTGTGGTAAACTCTTGGCTCATTTACAGAAGAGACTGCGAATCCTTACAGGTACCTAAAAGAAACATAGTTAATCTCCAAGAATTCAAAATGAGCATTGCAGAGGCACTGCTATTGGAAGGGAAAAGAAGCCAACAATCAAAAAGGGGTCATCCATCAAAAACCAGCACAGATGCAGAATTTGCAAAAAAGAAGAAGCTAGGTCCAGCCACTAAAAGTATTCCGGTAGCAGACATACGTCTAGATGGGCTTGATCACTTGCCCATGGTCACAGATAGGGGTAGGTGTAAAAATATCAATTGTAGAAGTGCTCCAGTATATATGTGCACCAAATGTAAAGTACACCTGTGCATTACAAAGGAAAAGAACTGTTTTATACATTTCCACACTACATAATAACTTCTATTTTTGTATTTAATTTATAATAAATTGATGTTTTTCAAATTTATTATGTCTTTTATATCGATATTGTGCATTACTATGTATGTAAAATTAAGCAAAAAATCAAAACTTTTCAAAATTTAAATCATGAGTTATTTCTAAACAAAGGACTTTTGTGACGATTTCGTAACGTTTCAAAAAAACACCTAATATTTAAAAAAAAACTGTTTTTTTTTAATCTGTAAATTAATAATAGCAAAATAAGTAATTAGAAACAAAAAAAAATTTTTTTTAATACATTAAAAATTTGGCGTTATAGGGTTAAAGTTCTGTCTGGCTTTAATTTGTAAAAGACGCCAGTTTCATCGCCATTGAAGATATCTTCATTCTTGTATGGTTGCCTAAGTTGTGGCCATGTGTTTTGTAAACAATCACCTGTCATGTTCTCGTCCACACATTTTGCCTCTCCAACAATTTTCGCGAAAGAAATTGAGTGCCGGTCTTTAAACCGATCTAGTCAGCAGTTGGAGCATGTGAAATCTTCAACAAATAGTTCTCCGAACTCTGTAGTCTTCTCCTTTAAAAGTGGCCCGGATAAAGGAATATCAGAACTGTGAGACTGCTTGAACCATTTGAGTAAAGCTGAATCTACATCACCACGAATGCACTTCCTAATATTTTTTACATTTTCTCTCTTCTCATTAAAGGATTTTAAAATTTTTTCTTTGTTTTTTAGGATTGGGCCGACAGTCAAATTAAGTCCAAATTGCCAACATACATCAGCAATTGTTCGACCACTTTATCTTTAATAGGCAAAGCCTTCCTTTTAGTACTACAACTTACCATATTTAAAATAAAAAGTTAGTTACTAAATTAGAATCTAAAAACAAAACATGCCGAACACAATTTCAAGGTAGTGAAAATTTCTTAAACTGACTGATGAAACAGAAAATTTGACTGTTAGAATGCACTGATAAATGAGAAATTTTGAGTTATAAGACCTGTCAAGGTCACGTAACTGTACACAGAAGGGATAATCGGGCTTATTTTATTTTTAGCCGATAAAACCGGGTTTTTAATGATGATATCGAATAGTTTTTGGTCAGACCTATTAAAACTTGACGTTACAACCGAGATAACGTAACTACCGAGGCCGTAGTATCCAAGTTCCACTGTATTGTGAGAGATACAGATATAATTTTATGATATTTTCCAAACCTGTTAAAAATATGGTTACTAAACTTACTTTGAGAGTGGTCCCATTTCTAATACTTTCCAACAAAGCCGAATTGCCCATACCTCCTGCTGCTGGTCCAGGAGACAGAGGTCCCATAGGTGGAGGTGGTGGTCCTAGGCTTTCTTTCGGACTCGAAACTTCGTCCATCATAGGTGGCAAAGGAGGTGGGGGAGGAGGCGCAGGCGCTGGAGGTGCTGCCGGAACAAAATCTCGGGATGGTGGTGTTCCTACATAAATATTATTTGAAATTAAAACCATTTTATATAATTTATCATCTTTTTCCTAAATCAAGTGCAGTGGATCCTAGGTTGATAAGACAGAACCGTAAATAGTGATTCTGTAGATATGTTACGGTTAAAACGCGAATATCTGATAGTACTAGAATTATACGGATAGAGTTAGAATTATCCAAGCATAGTGGATAAAGCTATATATTTGTGAAGATTTCGTTGTATTTTGGATTTATTCTGCTAATATTATATTATCCTCTTCAAATAAATAATCATTTCTAATTTGGAGTAAAAAATGAATATGATTTTTATCGCTGTTAGTTATATCAGGTTCTCAATGCTAAGCTATTGGGACCGTGCAAGTTCGGAACAGCGACACCTGGTGTCGTAAATCAGCAAAATTTACTGCGTTTTCAGGTTAGATCGAGGTTACCGGATAACTGTCAAGGACGTAGCCCCAAAAACGAATAAGAAGAAAAAGTAAGATTGAGGTTATGTCGATATGTTATTAAAAGGTAAACATTGTATGTAGTGTAAATACAAATAAATATATTATTAAATTACAGCATTACTGTTAATATGGATGCAATAACAAAAACTGGATTTGAGAAAGTAAATCACCAAATAACTTTTCAACCAAGCACTGAGTCAAATGGAAAAGCTTTAGTAGTGGCAAATGTCAAAAAAGAATGGAAGAATTATGTGGAAGAATTAAGAAAAATAAATTACCATAAATAATGCTGTAAACTTTTGGACAGCGAATATATCTTAATGCATCTTCAGAAAAACTTGAACTTGATGCATTTTTGTAAACTTCAAAAAAATAAAATTTAAACATTAAACTTGATTTTTGGGTTAAAATGAACTCTAAGTGAGTGTTATGAAACTAAAATTTACACTTAAAAGTGAACTTTTATTTATTATTTATTTCAAACTGACTTTAAAATCGGGCGCAAGAATAATGCATAATTTAGGTTATGTTACTTATGCTTTTTATGATATAAATGGATATAAATCCACTTTTCTCTTTGTAGTAATTTGTGCTTCGAAGTTGGAAACGAATAAAACTTAAATTGATAATTTTTTGTTGTATTTTTACAATTTATAACACAGCATTTCCTAAATCCCATTTTCTTCAGTGACAGATGGTGTAAATAAACAAGCGAATATGAAATATGACAATTGACAATATGAATTTATGAAATCTATGAAATTTGCAGTAGAAAATGCAAGATTTCTCCGCTACTCGCGCACGATCGTTTCTCGTATCACATCCAAGTACTTGCACGTCGCCAATATCTTTTAGACGATAATTCTGTAGTAGATTCTTAATAAGAAAAAAAAAGCAAATACGGAAAACAATTTTTAGATAACAAAATTGCATTTAGGTATTTGTATACAGTTTAGAATCATCCTTTCCAGTTTGTTAAACCCTATTCATTTTTTAAAACTGTTTTAAGAAACTCCTGCGTAGAATGTAGTAGAATTTGGTTAACCATAGTTAGCCACATTAAAATATTGAAATACTATCTAAACAATGAAAAAATGAAAAAATTAAAATGAAAATCCCAACTTTGCAGCTAGTAAACCAAAAAGTAAACATATTGGGGATGTCGAGAAGACTAAAAACATATTATGTCAGATGGTATTAGAGTCTTTCTAGGTTTTTCTTATGATTTACAATGTAATTACCGTAAAAAGGGTTTTGCTTTTATTATTGTCTATACTACACATAGGCTCCCTTATGTCCCAGAGGCTTCCAAAGATGATATCTTTCATAAACATAGGTAGGCTACGATAGAGATGACACGTGTCAAAAGCGAATTAAGGCTTATCCTCGAAAATTGTAACGGTAAAATTCAGAGGGATATCTATTTCAAAAATATCTTTCTTTACGAAAACAAAATCCATTCACGAAGAATATTCTAAACGTCATCTTGTACTAGAGGTTAGCTTTATACCTACCTTATACAACCCCCTATTGTGAAAAGTCTTGGGTCTATACAATAGAGCAGGCGGCCTTCTATTCAGTGCGGTTTTGGAGTAATTATAATAATACGAGTATACCAGAGTAATATTAATTATTGAATAATTAATTCACAACTTAGCAAAGGTACATACAGGTAACAAATAATTGTCCTGTAAATCATAACAATCAAATCGAAGACAAACTTTTATAAAATTTTATTACAAAATAATGTATAAGATATTTTGAGTTTTTTCTCAAAACAAAAAAAAAATTGTTTAATTTACTGTTTGTTTATTATTTACTATATAATTTCTAAATTGAACCACTTTCACTTCTTTAGATAACAATGTATCTGTTTTGAGAACTAAATGGGTAATTAGACAAAATAATGAGAATTATTAATCTCAAAACAGGAGTTTAAAGAATTAGAAGAAGGTAGTCCGGGCCCAGTTGAACGGTCAAGCTTATTCCAGTGGAAGCAATAAGGAGAATTATTTTTCGTTTTGGCTCAGCTGACATGCTCTCTCTAGCACTACAACCCATAAAACTGTGGTACATGCTTTATTTATACGGTTGTGAAACAGGACGATTAACAGAGACATCGAAGAAAGATATCTCGTCGAACTGGATGCAATAAAGTATGAGAATAGAAGGTACAGTAATGGATGGCATACAACGAAAGCAGCTCAAATGGTACGGAGAGGTCTAATAAATAAAAGACAGTAGACTCCTGAAACAAGTACCTATATGAACACCTACAGGAATCCAGAAGAGAGGATTACCTTAGAAAACACGGATGAAAGGAATAAGAAACTTAATGAGCTCGAAAGAACTTGCAGAACAATGAAACAACCGAATTGAGACGTTTTATAGGGATTATATCATATTATAGGTATATTTTTGGGACTAAAAATAAATTTAAAGAAAACCAAATTCATGGTATTTACAAAAGCACAAAGCATCAAAGTTAAGCTAGTACTAGATAATACAGAAATTGCACAAATATCTTCGTACAAATATCTTGGAGCATGGATCACAGAAGATACTGATTAGACAAAAGAAATAAGATGCCGCATTGGAATTGCACGGTCAACTTTTAATAGAATGAGAAAACTTTTTTGTAATCGCGATATCAATATATTGCTCCGGATAAGAATGTTTCGATGTTATATTTTGTTTACCCTTTTGTAAGGTATTGAACCTTGGTCCCTTAAAAAATCCAACATTAAAAACCTAGAAGCATTCGAAATGTGGTGTTACCGACGTATTTTGAAAATATCATTGATGGATCGCAAAACAAACGAACAAGTTCTCGTACAACTAGGAAAACAATGCGAAGTTTTAAATTCCATATTAATCAGGAAATTGGAATACTTGGGGCACATCATGATAGGTGAAAAATACGAACTATTAAGGAATATAATGTAGGGTAAAATCAAAGGAAGAAGAAGCGTAGGAAGACGTAAAATCTCGTGATTACGCAATCTCCGTGAATGGTTTAGATGCAGTTCAATTGAACTATTCAGGCGAGTAACCAATAAAATTATAATTGCCAGAATGATTTCCAATCTCCGATAGGAGTGGATATTGAAGAAGAAGAATAAGTAGATTATTATTATATCATATTATATAATGATATACACGATATTGAATGAGGTTACAACATAGACAATCAACAAAATCTACATCGTCAAATACACAGTGAAGACCCAACAATAATAGAAGTGTCAAGTGCCGTCCTAAAACTCAAAGACAATAAAGCCACAGGAATCGAATAAATCTGTTCGGAAATATATAAAAAAAGGTGGTGATCAACTTTTTGCAGTAACCCATAAACTTATAGTACTTATATGGCAGAATGAATTGGTACCAGAAGAGTGGCTAAATGAAATAATATACGTTGGATAAAAGGGGCGATTAACTGGATTGTAAGAACTATAGAGGCATTACTCTGTTAGCATCTGCGTATAAAATCTTCTTTGAAAATAAGGCTATTATCGAGCACAAGTTAATTAAATCAAGCCCAAGTACTTTCGCTTAAAATAGCATCTTCAGGGGCATTTCGTCAAAATGTGAACTATCCGGCAAGCGTAGAATGTGGAAACATTAAAAATAACATAAAATTGTACAAAACACTACACTAAAACGAGGACAAACAGTTTAAAATTACTTAGAGATTCTACGCTACATTCTCTGTCAGTATCTGGAGGGATAATGTCATTATCCCTCCAGATACTGGCAGAGAATGTAGCGTAGAATCTCTAAAAAAAGAATCGCGTTTTTTGCATTAAATTGTTAATCATTAAAAAACGGCTCCCAACTTTAGGCAGGAAACAGGTAGGTTTTCTTCTTATAGGTCTAAAATAACTAAAAAAGTTGTCAGCTAGCTGGATTATTGATTGTCACGAGAAAATCTTTATTACCCTGGACTAATATGACTGGACAAGCAAGTGAAAAAACAAACTTCATATATTATGTAAACTTTACTAACAAAAACGTTCAAAATAAATATTCCAATAAATATAAATAATCAAATTCCATATTCCAATACTGCAAAATATTTAGGTATTGTCCAATAAATATAAAATCCAAAATTCTACGCTGTTTCTACATAATAAATTATTATTATATAAGCAAGTACCGAAACAATAGTATTATTATAATAACAGTATAAACATTTAGAAGGAAAATAACACAAATCAACAGAAAATATTTTTATTATATAAAATTTTAATCAAATTATAGGTACTTACTGCTTATTTATATAAAATTTCCTCAATCGGAACATAAACGTCTTCGTGAACTAACCATTTTAAAAACAATTAACACACTGGTTTGTCAAAAGTCGGAATAAACCCTAATAATGTTATTCAACATTATTTATGACCCACCCTCGAGAGGGTATTATACTTCTTACCTAACCAGCCTAACCGTCGGCGAGAATCCAGAAACTATCGACAAGGACAGCCTGTACTGACCGAGAGAGAGAGAGTGACATTTAGCAAAATTTGAGAATTTAAAAAAAGTTTATACCAAATAGCGGCTTTGTGTTACACATGTTAAAAATAAAAACAGAATCGGAAAGTGGGTCAAATTCTGTAGTGCCCTATTTCAAAAAAAATTTTTTTACGCTTATTTTAAACAAAAATATTTGAAAAAAAATATTGTTTAAACAATTTATTAATTTACAACCAAATAGTGCACTAGAACTTTTTAAGACCTTCCATATAAAAAAAAGAATCATCCCAATATCTGCATAGTTTTTGCGTTATTTGATATAAACTTTTACATTGGAATTTAGCTATGCCCAGAATCGCTGGGAACGGCCTTAAAACTAAACTTAAGATGGAAGGATGGTGATGGACAGAAACAGCTTGAGAAAGTTCGAGGATCAACTAGAGCTAGAGAAACCAGACTTGTTTGGTCTCTCATGATCTAATAATATTAGTAACGACATTATTAAATAACTTACCAAAGTTCGGTACAGGCGCTGGTTTCTTAGGCGGCGGCACGTCCATCCGAGGCTTCCTAGGCGTGGCATTGTTGTTAGCGTTAGGTGTTTTATTTGGAATAGGAGGTGGTGGTGCGTTACGAAAGTGTGACGGCCTCGAAACAGCAGGTCCTCTAGGTGGCACTGCAGGTGGAGCTGTATTCGTTTCTATTGTTTTGTTCGTCTCTTCGATGGCTTCTCGGCCCCCATTTCGATTAATAAAATCGTAAATGTAATCCCGGGTACCCGGGTCTCGAAGTTGTTGTTCAGAAACGCCAGCCTAAAAACAGTTTTAATGTTAAATAAGCGCATACGTATTCTGTGCGGAATGTAAACTAAAAACTTTTGTGGCATAACGTAAATAATGTGAACTTTAAATATCATGAACCCACAGCCTCCTAAATTATACTCTTTTATTAAATTATATAAACCTGATCACCTCCTTCATATAAACTATCAAAAAAACTGTTACAAGATTATTTTCATCATCAGTTGGCGCTACAGCCCTTCGTGGGCCTTGGCCTGCTTCAAAACGTTCTTCCATCCTTCCCTATCGAGTGTCTGCCTTCTCCAGCCCCTCACTCCAATCTCCCTCAGATCTTCCTGTACATCGTTATTTTTCTACATACATTACAAGATTATTTTAGACACACTAAATTTTCACCTCAATTTACCGTAAAAAATACAATAGACTAGTTAATAAAATACAATATTTTCAATTACCTAACAACTCCAAATTAATTTCATTTGAGGTGAAAAACCTTTTTCCTAGTATTCCTCCTACAGAAACTTTTGTTCTAGTAAAAAACTTTTTAGACCATAATATTACAAATCCAATCATTACATCTGAAAGTTTACATCTTCTTGAAATTTGCATAAACCAGGACTACTTTGAATTTGATAATCAAATATATATAAATAACAGTGCAGGACTTATAGTGGGTAATCCTCTAAGCCCATTGCTATCAGATATTTTTATGGATCATCTAGAAACAAAGATTTCAAAACATCCCGTATTCAAACAGTGTTTGTATTGGTGAAGATACGTAGACGATGTATTGGTATGTTTTACATGAACTAACAGACAACTTGACTAATTCTTATCGTATATTAATTCACTCCATAGTCAAATTGAATTCACAATAGAAACAGAACAAAATTTATTCATCAATTTTCTAGATTTAAAAATTATCAGACTTAAAAACAAAAAGATGAGTTCTCCGTATTTCATAAACCCATCCATACTGACATGACTATACACAATTCAACATCCCATCCTACATAACATAAATTTGCAGCCTACCATAGCATGCTACATAGATTAATAGAAATCTCCATATCATAAAACAACTTCGAAATAAAATTGAATATCATTAAGGAAATAGCAGTAAAGAATGGATACAATGAACTACAATGGATTTTAAATCAAAAACTACACAAGAAAGCCCTGAAATTAGTATTTCCACCACTAGAGAAAAAACTCAGTACCTTTTGTTCGGTTACATATAAAGGTAAGATATCAACAAAAATAGCCAAACGCATAAAAAAGAATGGACAAAGCAAATTTAGAGAATTACAGACCGATTAGCCTCCTCAGCCATATATATATAAGTTGTTTACGCGAATACTAGTTAAGAGAATGGAAAGAAAATTAAAGGCTTATCAACCAAGGGAACATGCAGGATTCCGAAAAAGTTACGGAACAAATGACCATCTATTAAGTATAAAAAAATTAATAGAGAAAGCAGTGGAATACAATAAACCTTTAGTTCTAATATTTATCGATTTTCAAAAAGCCTTTGACACAGTTGAGCTAAGCAAAATATTACAGGCGCTTAAAAAATGCAGGCTAGATTATAGATATACTAAATTATTATACAAAATATACCTGCAGGCAACAACCACTGTCATATTACATACTAACAGTAATCGCATAAAAATAGAACGGGGGTTAGACAAGGAGACCCAATGTCACCAAAACTTTTTAATGCGGTGCTAGAACATGCTTTTAAGAATTTGGATTGGATGGCAGGGAATAAAAATAGATGGAGAATATCTAAACAACTTACGTTTCGCCGATGATATACTTATAATAGCTGAAGATCTAGGTATGGCAAGAGAGATGGTACAGGAACTCGTTGTGGCTACAGAAAATGTAGGTTTAAATATAAATATCTCGAAAACAAAAATCATGACCAATTTGGTACCCAACCAGAACATCAGTATTGGTGGGAAAGAAATAGAACTCGTAGATAGATATAAATACCTGGGACATGAAATTATGATTGGCAGGGATATCCAGACTCATGAACTGAAGAGAAGAATCGGCCTTGGGTGGGCAGCATTTGGAAAACTGAGAGAAACTTTTAAAAGTGAGCTGCCCACATGCCTAAAGAGAAAGGTATTTGATCAGTGCGTCCTCCCAGTCTTGACGTACGGAGCAGAAGCGCTTACCTTAACAAAAGCAGCAGCTACCAAACTGAGAGTCACGCAGAGAAGAATGGAGCGGTCCATGTTAGGAATAACTCTGCGAGACAGAATAACCAACGAAGACATCAGGAGAAGAACCGGAGTGACTGACATCATTGAGAAGATAGCCAGACTAAAATGGAGATGGGCAGGACACATAGCCAGAACGACAGATGGGCGATGTACAAAGAGGTTATTGGAATGGAGGCCAAGGGAAGACAAGAGAAGCGTCGGTCGACCACCTACAAGATGGACTGACGATTTAAGAAGATTCAATAAAAACTGGATAAGAGCGGCGCAAGATAGACGGGGTTGGAAACATGAGGAAGAGGCCTATGTTCAGCAGTAGACTCTTGAGGCTAGATGATGATGATAAAAACGAAAGGAGTAACACCAGCTTTTAGAACAAACAACAACTTAGACAAATATATTAAGAACAACAAGAGCCAAAAGAACAAGTACTAACATAGTGGTATATAGAAACGTAAATGCGACTGTCCAAAATACTTACGTCGGCCTCACTGGTATACCTTTTATCAAACGTATAGCAGAACATAAAAGGGCTTTCAATAATATAAAAACAGATTCTACATACGGACTTCCCCTTCTAGACTAGAGCATAATCATTCTTTTAATGACCAATTTCAAATTCTTGATATTCAAAATAAAGGCCTTAAGCTGTATTTATTAGAATCTATAGAAATCAACAAATTAAAAAATACAGACATAATTCTGAATGACCAAGTTGAGATAAACAGTTCTTCCCTTGTCAACTTATTCAGTTTAAGGCTATAAATTGTAAAGAAATACCAAAAATAGATCACTTGAGAAAGGCACTCTGACTAAACAGCTATAGTGACAATAATTTGAAATAAATTTTGAGAAAGTGTTGAAAAAAATGTTTTCAGTGTTTTATTGTTACATAAAATGAATTTCCATCAAGAAACGCGGAATTCATCACAATCACATCAAGTTTTCTTTCATTTCTCCATTCCTAGTAGTGTTAGTTTTCATTTTAGACTATATCACGTATAGGTGTAAGATACCATGCAGAGTTTTGGAAAGATAAAGAGGGAAGACAAATAATTAAATGTACATCATCAGAAAACCTTAAAAATCCAATCTTAAAACGACCAAAACCTTAGTGTACGCTAAAGGTATAGAATTTGCAAAACATACGTGCGACCCATAATGACATATCGAGCACTTCGAGCAGAGATACAAGTCGTAACATCAGTAACATGGAGAATATTAAAATCAACTGAGACAATCTCGTATTTAAGGTACTATACACTAAATTATAGATAAAGGAAGAAAAAGGAATAGTGAGTGGATGCTAGCAGAATGCTAGCAAATGAAAAACAAAAAAGCACCTGGCGAGGATCGTATAACGTCTGAAATGTTAAAAATGGGCGGCAACTTCGTTGTAGAAGTTGTGGAAGTCTTACTGAATAAGTGTCTATCAGAAAAAAGAATACCCAGCCCATGGGAAAACGCCGAAATAATACTTTTACACAAGAAAGGAGACACTACTAATATTGAGAACTACAGACCTATAAGTTTGTTGTCACACTTATACAAATTGTTAACAAGAATAATAACCAACCGCATAACACAAAAATTTGATTTATATCAACCGGTTGAACAGGCGGGATTTAGAAAAGGGTTTGGTACTAATGATCACTTACAAACCATCAGAACACTAGTAGAAAAAACCACAGAATATAATGTACCTTTACATATGGCATTTATCGACTTTCACAAGGCTTTCGATAGTATTGAGACTTGGTCCTTTTTGTCAGCCCTGAAGGATGCTCGAATAGACTCACCGTACACTACACTCATTAAAAACATTTATGAACAGGCCACATTCCACATCAAAATCAATGAAGACGAAAAAACTGAAAAAATGCGCCTTGATAAAGGTATTAGACAAGGTGATACTATTTCACCAAAGCTTTTTACCTTAGCATTGGAAAATGTATTCAAACAGCTTGACTGGGAGGAAAAAGGTCTAAACATTGATGGTGTACGTTTGAGTCATTTGATCTTTGTGGATGACATAGTATTATTTAGTACAGATATCAAGGAACTGGAGCAAATGTTGAAGAAATTAAATCAGTAGTCAAATAAAATAGGTCTCAAAATGAACCTTCAGAAAACAAAAATAATGAGTAATTTACAAACTAATATTGTTATTGACAACGTCAGTCTTGAAAATGTAGACCACTATGTATATCTTGGACATACCATTAAAATCGGCAAAGAAAATCAAATAGCCGAAATAAAAAGACTCATACAACTGTCTTGGGGAGCTTTCGGCAAATTAAGCTTTGTTTTGAAGAATAAAGATATACCAATGTGTCTAAAACGTAGAGTTTATGACAAATGTATCTTGCCTGTAACTACATATGGACTGGAGACCATGGCCTTCACAAAGAAAACCTTAGAGCAGCTCAGTACAACCCAAAGAGCAATGGAGAGGGCCATGGTAGGGATTAGTTTGAGAGACAGGATTCGAAATAACGTCATTCGTGAAAGAACAAAAATTACTGATGTCTCAGAACGTATTGCAAGGCTCAAGTGGCAATGGGTCGGACACGTTGCCCGAGATAATCCCGAAAAATGGACACAAAGGTTAACAAACTGGAGACCAAGAGAGAACAGGCGAGGAGTAGGCAGACCGCAGAAGAGGTGGACAGACGATATCAAACAAGTCGCGGGCAAGCAGTGGATGAGAATTGCCAAAAGTAGAAATCGATGGAAGCAAATGGAAGAGGCCTATGTCCAGCAGTGGACGAACACAGGCTG